GGGAGAAGTGAACCAGTGCCTGGGCCGCCTGCTGGGAGGGGATGGCGCAGCACCAATTGCTGGGTACCCCCCTCTGGTCCCCACTCCCTGCACCCCACACCCCCACCACTTCGGGGGCGGCACCTCCGGGCTGACGGGGAACTGGGGAGAAGGGCGGGGGCGAGATGGAGGTAAGCTTAGGAAGTTACTGTTCGTCGCCCGACAAGGCGGCAGAATCCGTGCTGGCGGTACACTCGCGTGCGGGACCCGGTACTGGGGAAAACGCGTGGCTTTCGGGATGTCCGCTTTGCAGAGCAAAAGCAAGGGCATGCATTCCGACGCTCGGTCCTCCGCTGACTGCTCTCTTAGGCTTTCCTTTAAGTTGAACTCATTCACATTATCTTACAGAAGTTTTATTTTTCTTATGTGTGCTTTTCTCGCGATCCCGCTGACCGCCCTGACTCCAGCTAGAGAACGAGCATCCAGCAGCTCCATTTTCTCATACAAAGGATACTTAAGGCACACTAGTGGAAGTAGGGGCAGGAGCCCGGCAAAACCGCAGTTGGAGCAGAGAGACTGTCTGCTGCATATATCACACTCAACTGTGAGCCAGGTCTGGTACCTTGCTTGCCTTTCCATTGATCGTCCGGGGACAGCAGGGAGGTTGACAAGGGGGCGGTCTAGCCTTTGGCTACCCAAGAGAGCAAGTACAAGAGAGCGTTAAGCAGGTCGGTGGCTTCAGACTGCTCTTGCGGGGTCCAGCCGCTTCGCTGCCGCGGATTGGGGCTCGGGCAGCATCGCGGGTGTGGACGGCGCGTTTCAGAGGTAGGAAAGGATGCAAGAGAGGGAGGAACCCAGTCTGGAGCCGCAAGACTGGTGCTTGCCAGCGCGCTCCAGCCGGATGGACATTGGGGTGCCCGGTCGCCAAAGGCCACTAAAGCGACGGGGGAAATGTGGCTGGTTTATGGCTCCGATGGGTTGTAGGTATCTAGAAGCAGGGGTAAATCCCCTGTCCCTGTCATGGGACTAAAAGCAAAAAGCAACAACTAAAACCTTCCCAGTTGGTCCAATCTGATTCTTGCTCCAAAGTGCAAGTCCTTAAATTTACCCAGAGGCCAGAGGATGAACCAGGTGAATTCTCTAAATTCCTTTCCAAAAGGTTCAAGGCTTTAGGTGAAAATTCATTTTCCGTGCTTAACTAACAGAAAAAAAACTTATCTTTCTAGTGGTCTGCTTTGTTTTTGGAAAAAGACGCTCCTTCCCGAAATACAAGGAGAAAAAGTAGATAATCTTTCCGTGTGCCGGGAGCACAGTATTCATTTTTATTTTTGCCTGCTAAATGGAAGGGGGGATATATTTGCACGGAGAAAGGACACCAAGAAAGAAAATTGTTGTCAATTATCATTAGTAGATTTTCTCTAATAGATTCTTCATGGGAAGTATATTATTATTATTATTACTATTATTATTTTTGAAGGGCAAGTCTTCTTTCCCCAGTATTTCCCTCTCCATCTTGATAACTGCCATCTTTTCAATTTCTGATATTTTTAAAGGTTAAAATCTTGGTTCAAATAATCCTCATATCACTTCCTTCCCTTTTTCTTTCCTGTTCTCTCTCTCTCTCTTTTTTTTTTTTT